AATAGTTATTCCTAAGGAGTCCTTGGTATTAGCTATTCCCATACTCTTGGAAATAACTTTTATATCACAGATACCAAAAATACCCTTTACACATTATTTAATATTTATATTTAATAAATATAAATGTATATATTTAATTAATTATAATTTTTATCTATCAATAAATATATATTTAAATAAATTATACACACACACACACACACACACACACACATTTTGCAGCATTTGCAAATAGGATTTCGGGGAAAAAAAGTCTTTCCCTAAAACACCCTTGACATTTATATTTATATATAAAAAAAATTAACTATATAAGGATCTTTAATTATGGAGCCTTGGCTTCAAAATTAAGTAGCCTGCCCATCTGCTTACCAATCGTTATACCCTGCATCACGGCGCGCATAACACTGTGCACCCCGCGCCTCCCAAAACAACGTCGTTTTGGTAAGTTATGTAGGGAGTTGACGCGATTATGTGTATTTGTTTATAAATTATGTGTATTTATTTATACAATTATGTGTATTTGTTTATACAATTATGTACATTTTTTATACAATCATGTACATCTTTTTTATACAATTATGTACATCCGAAACAGGAAATTTATGTGTATTATGTTAAGAGTTGATGTTTATTATGTTAAAAGTTTATGTATATTATGTATTATGTTAGATTATATGTATTATCTTTTAAAAAAATAGTATGTGTGTTTTGTTATACAATTATGTACATTCATGTATACAATTATGTGTATTATAGTATAAAATTATGTACATTTTTGAACCTGATATTTTTTTTTAAAGAAAATTAACCGCCAACACCGGGTAGCAAAATTTCAAAAAAAAAAATCTGAAACGACGTCGTTTTGCATCAGGGCGCACAATGCAATGCGCGCCCTGGTGCAGGATATAAATGCCTCCGCTTGCCCAACGAATTAGCATTGCAATTGAAATTATGGAGTGCTCGTTTTATAAGAGCCTCAAGGCTCTATTCCTCACTTCTCTCACCAATGTCAGATAAGTGGGGAAACAAATATAAATAAAAATATGTATTTTTATTATAATATTGAGTAATAATAATAATAATAATAATTATTGTTGTTGTTGTTGTTGTTATTCTCTCTTTCACACAGAAGCATATATATATATATATATATATATATATATATATATATATATATATATATATATATATATATATATATAATTGCACTCATGTGCGAATGAAGCGCCCAAGAGGGAATATGCGAACGAATCTGCACGCGACGCGTGTCCAGATCTAATGAATTAAAAAAAAAATACGGTGGTATTTTTGTAAATAATTGAACATCGAAGTACAAGTAAAATGTATTACAAGTGCATGTAAAATGTATAATAGGTGCAAGTAAAATTTACACTGAGGATCAATACTAAGTGCACCTATAGTTATAAGTAGTTGCACCAATAGTTATAAGTAGGTGCACATAGGTGCATGAATGTTTGCGTGAAGTGAATGTTAACAAAGCAAAATTACATGCACTTATAGGTGAAAGTAGGTGCACCTATAGTTATAAGTAGTTGCACTGATAGTTATAAGTAGGGTGCACCCATGTGCATGAATGTTTGCGGGAAGTGAATGTTAGCAAGGCAAAATTACATGCACTTATAGGCATGGTTGAAAAAACCGCTAAGCGCCCATCGGGCGCTCGGGGATCGCCTAGCGCCTAGGCGAGGATTAATCGGCGCCTAGGCGCCAGTGTATTTTTTATTTTCAAAAAATTTCTTTAAAATTATTAAAATTTTTAAGACTTGATAATTATAAACTATTTAATACTTTAATAGTTAATACTAAAATATTAAATATTAACCTAAAAAACATAGAATTTGAACAATTTAGGGTTATTTCGCTCAAACGATGTTGTTTTGAGTGAAATAACTCATTTAAAAAAGAGTTAATTGGCCGACTAGGCGACCTAGTTGGTGCCTAGGCCGCCTAGTCGGTGCCTAGGAGACCCAGTCGGCGCCTAGGAGGCCTAGGCAGCCTAGGCGGCACTTAGGCGGCCTAGTCGGTCGCCTAGCTGGCCAGGCGCCTAGACCACCGATTATGGTGGTACCTAGGCGGCCGGCCAGCGCCTAGCACCTAGGCGCCAATTAATCGGTGGCTAGGCGGGATTTTTGCAACATTGCTTATAGGTGAAAGTAGGTGCACTTGTAAATGATTTTACTTGCACTTTGATGTTTAATTATTTACGAAAATGTCACCGTGTTTTTTTTAATCTATTAGATCTGGACACGTGTCGCGCACGGATTCTTTCGCATATTCCCTCCTGGGCACTTATTCGCACCTGAGTGCATCCCTATATATATATATATATATATATATATATATATATATATATATATATATATATATATATATATATATATAACATTCAGTATATCATAATCATATTTATTATTATTATTATTATTACTATTATTATTATTATTATTATTATTTTGTAAAAGAGTATTTATGTCTTTAAAACTTATTCCATTTCTATTTCTTTAACCAACCAAACACTGGAATACAATTACTAACATATGTTCCTTCAGCGAATCAAAGAATAAAATGCAATTCATATTCTATTCCTTACTTATTCCATTCCCTGTGGAATAACATTCATATTCTCTCCAAATTCAGTTTGTGAACCAAACGTACGGTGTAAAACTGTAATCAGTTTTTGTTTGGCCCCTTTATCTTTTGATGGTAACTGATATATCACTTACCTTATCTCTCTTTATCTTTATGTTTGTTGTTGTAATTGTGTGTTTATTAAATTCTTAAGTATTTACTAACTTAAGAATTTAAGTTTGTAATGATGATGCTTTCACCATGTTGTTTGAAATCTGAAATTGGGTTTCGTATGTTGCTTATGTACTGTGCACTTGAACTCTTGATGTCATAACTCATGAGCAATTTGCCCCTAATCTTAACTTAACTTGATATGAAAAAATAAACATTTTGAGCATCCTTTGTCCCTTTAATGAGTTAATCTATTTAACAATTGGACTGTTATAATCCTTTTGACAAGTTTACAGTTTATTTAACTTTTTAACCTGTTGAATTTCTTTTAGAAGAATATCAGGAATGGATTATGGATGCTTGGAATTGGATAGTTGAAATACTGGATTTAAGAATTGTAAATTTGTAATGATCTTATGATCATTCTTATTTCTAAAAGGACAAGAATGTTCTTTAATTTAAGCATTTTGTTCCAGTTTGCATATATTATATTTACTATTTTGTTAAACTGAAGTGTAAATTTGTATGCTTTTAGACTTTTAGTAGTTGTAAGTTGACTAAATGAAAGTAAATAATTAAATTTAATTTCAGTAAATTATTTAACTAACAAATTTTGTAATTTAATTTATTTTTGGAAAAGGGTCAAATAGGCCCCAAAATTTTACACCAAATGTTAATTAGGCACCTAAACTTTAAAAAAATACAATTAAATCCTCAAATGTGTTATTTTTGATCAAATAAGTCAAATTTACCGGTAACTCACAGGTTACTGATAAAATTAAACTGTTGACTACATTTTTTGACGTTGATCGAAGAAATCTTATCGAAAAACATCACCATCGACTAAATGGTTGCCTTCGCCGGAGAAGGTGACCTGAAGCCTTTTCCAGGATAAGCTAGAGAAGGCGACCTTTACTGGTCGCCTTCTCCCAGAGAAAGCTCCTAGAAAAGGTCGCCTTCCTTGGCGGAAGGCATCCAGTTGGTTGTCTTCGGCCGGAGAAGGCGACCAACTGGTTAAGTATCCTGAATATCCGACGGGTTTAAAAATAAAATTATATTGATTGAGGGTCCAAAATAAAATCGAAATTCGTTTGGATATGCCTTCCGGTCGATGCCCAACAACCCCTTTGGCTAATCATTTTAAACTCTCTTCTAATAAGTGTCCCCAAACAGTTAGTGAGATTGAAAATACAGTAATGGTTCCTTATGCTAGTGTAGTTGGCTACTTAATATGTGCAACGGTTTGTATTCGGCTTGATTTGGTTCTTGTTGTTAGCCAAGTTAGTAAGTACATGTCTAAACCTAGGAAGCAACATTGTGAGGCAGTTAAGTGGATTCTTCGGTACTTAAGGGGCACTATAGGGCATGGTACTGTATTTGAGAGTCTACAGAGTGAGCTTGTAGTCATGGGATATGTGGATTCTGATTATGCTTATGACATAGATAACAAACGTTCTACAACGGGGTATGTCTTTACTCTTGGGGTGGTCCTATTTGTTGGAAATCATCAGTTCAGTATGTTGTAGCTTTGTCTACAATTGAAGCAAAATACATGGTTGTGACTGAGGCAGCTAAAGAGACTTTGTGACTTTCAGATTTGATTAAGGGATTGGGTATTGAGCAAGGTGGAGTTTAATTACACTGTGACAGTCAGAGTGCCATTTTTGGCTAAAAATCAAGTACATCGTACCAGGACCAAACATATTGATGTAAGGTTTCATAAGGTTAGAGAATTGGTTGCTTCTAGTGAGATTTTGTTGCAGAAAATTCATACAAGTGAGAATGCAGTAGACATGTTGACAAAGGCAGTTATCAATGACAAGTTCAAACATTGTTTAGATTTGTCGGGTGTTTCCATATGTTAGATGAGCATGGTTGTCCCGACCCATGGGTATATGTGAGATGTCTTTTCTTCTAAAGAAAATATTAGCTTAGGTGGAGATTTGTTGAGTTTGTCTCATATAAAATAAATAAAAATTTATCTCATATAAGGAATAGGAGTAGAAGAGATTGTGTTGGGCCTATAGTACAAGGGTAGATACCTATAAATACATTAATTGTATTTCTAGGTGTGAGATCATTATCACAATTAATAAAAGAATAGTTTCACTCTCGTGCACATAGGCACACTGTTGAACCACCTAAATCTTGTTTTCTTTAATTTTTGCCATTATTATTTGTTTTTTTTGTTCTTGATTAATCTCAACAAATAATAACAGTAAAAATGAAATGTTGGAAAATTAATCATTGAAAACCTTGAAAGAGTGTTCACAGAAAGCCTGAAACTAAACTACCTATAACACTATACAAAGGGAGTTTAGCATTTCATCTCTTCTATCAATAAAAGTAAACCTCAAAAATGAATGCAATTAAGCAGCTCAACGCCACTGTAATCAATTCTGATCTCTTATCCATCTACATGTTTGAACCTTCATACTGTGAATTTCAGAGAGTTCTATAATGCTTAAATGAAGTCCAGAACTGAAAAACGTACGTTTCGAAATCCAAGAGTTTTCTCAGTAAAACATCCTCAGTTGCTGCCACAGAAAGGAGTCAATTCCAAACATTCTTTTCTACTTCGTTTGTGTCACTTACAGTCTAAGATCCATCGGATGAACTTGATTGCGTGTCAAGTAGTTCGTTGAATTCATCCATTCGCTTATGAAATTGTGCAGTGATCTGCAACACGTCCTCTTCGCCTGTTAGCATTTTCACAACCTGCATCACTGACTCAGATCAAGATCAACACCATAACTGCCCATTTTTATGACAGTGGATTTTGATTATATATGGACTCAAATTTATAGTAAAATCCAAGTTAACTTAATAAACTGAAATGCATTGCATAATCAGGTATTCTGTAATCTATAATCTATATATACCAAACATACTGAAACTGAATTATTTAATCCTAATCATAATCATAATAATAACCACATTAAACAATCTTTAATTTATCAGATGCATTTAATTTGTACTTTATATATATGATAAGAAAATGGTTACGTTACGTTACGTTGTTTGTTTTCATGATACTAAATGGCCTATCTTTCATCAATATATAACTGAGGTTTTAGATCGAATACATGCCTTGCTCATCGTAGGTCGGTCTGCAGCAGACTGTTGTATACACAAAGAAGCAGCCAAAGCCATGCAAGTCATCTGTTCTAAGTCATACACTCCATGAAGAGCTGGATCAGCCAGCTCAGCGATATTTCTCTGGAGCAGAAAAGGTTTAGCCTGCAGGGACGGACGGGGTGGGGTGTTCTTAATTAGATTTTAATCTGAATCCCAATTTGGTGTAGCAATGTAAGTTGAATAGGAGAAAAAACATACCCACATAACTACACTATTATGTGATTGGTCCAAAGCTTGGCGGCCCGTAATTATCTCTAACAACAGCACCCCATAAGCATAGACATCAGTTTTTTCATCAACTATTCCATGCATGAAGAGCTCGGGAGGGAGGTATCTGACATGACGATCAAATTTAAGAGGAGTACGTTTATGATCGAGAGGGTTAAATAAATAGATAAAGATAAAAAGTGTTGAGGGGCTTTGTTTCCACCAACCCAAATGTGCCTTCAAACTGAGATACAGTGAGGTGACTCCATTGCTCTGGGAGCCATTTTGCTAGCCCAAAGTCAGATATCTGCACCCAACTCAAAAGTTTATCATTCTCACATTGAAAATATAAGAGAGAATATATGAGTTTATAAGGTGATGGGTTAGACTAGTCCAATTCATTGATTTTTTGGCCCATGTGCATTATAACTTTTAGAGATACCTGAGCCTCAAATTCTTGTGACAACAAAATATTAGCAGCCTTGATATCCCTGTGGATAATTCTTCTCTGACATGCCTCATGAAGATATGACAGGCCTGATGCAGTACCTAAAGCAATATTGTACCTTGACTGCCAAAGTAGTTTTTCACTCTGGTCTGCAAATTAAAGTTGCGGAAATCATATTGGTTTCAATTTAGGAAAGTGATAAGCTAAGATGGATGATTAGATTATAGACAGACCATTAAGCAAAGTTGCTAAGCTCCCATTAGGAGACAACGGTAGGACAAGGTGCATTCCCCCTTCAACTCCATAGCCGATAACACCAGCAATGTTGGGATGGTTGACGTGTACCAAAATTCCAAGCTCAGATAAGTAGTCTGCCGTTATCTCCTCTGGACTTCCCCTTATCAGTCTCTTAACTGCCACTAGCCGCCCATCTTCCAAATTTCCCTTGTACACTTCAGAATAACCTCCCTCCCCAATCACATTCTCTAAAACAAATTAATATAATATTTCAGCACCACGTATGTATATAGATTTTTTGTGTACTAAGTAGTACAGTTAAGATAAATCAAAATAATTTAAGAAGAAAAGAAACTCTGACAAGTGGTGGAAATTAAAGATTTTGTACCGTACCGGAGCTAAAGTTGTCAGTCATTTTCTGTAGCTCAGCAAGGCTGAAACTTGTCCAATTAGTCTCGAAGCAATTTGATACTAGATCTCCATCTATTTGAGGAGGCAGGCTGGGCAAACTCTTCCTAATTCTTTTCTTTGGAGCCTTCTTCATGGTGGGTAGAGAAGGTATGCTAGGGTGGAATGTATGCAGGCTCATTCCCTGCCCTTTCTTAATTTTCCTAATAAATCCATGCCACTGGGAATGATTTTTTTCATCCGCTGGATTAGGTGCGATATGAAAAGGATCAACCTTTGAGGATGTTGCTTCAGAACCTTTCTTTACGTCAAAAGCCTCTCTCATCAAAACTTTTCCGCCAACTTTAGTTGGATCTTCATTAGGACCAGTCCCCGCATTGCTTAAGCATTCCATCTCTGACACCACAAATATAATGGAAAAATAGAATGCATGCATAGTTACTTAGAATGAATTGCATATGGAAAGTGTCCCGGTGGTGGCTGGGGATTGATGGGCGGATCGGAGGTCAGTAAAGGACCAAGTCCAGCACCCAGTGTCTCGAAAATGTGTGGCGGTATAAGGAAATAAAGTTGCGTCTTTGCTGATACTAGCTATAGCTTTTGGCGTAAGTGGTAAGCGCTTGATCCTAACAGAAATTAAAGATAGATAGATCTATGAATGGTTGCTTAGAATTTACCTTCAGCGGTGAGAGAGATGGAAGAACAAAATAATACTTTTGGTGCAATTTCAGCAATCCCCATTTCTTCATTTTCTTCAACATCATCCTCACTGCGGTGAATGTAACGGGTCAAAATAACTCACCGGTTGGACCACAATAATGTTAGTTTTAGGATTAGATAAATCCAAGTGTCTAAACTGATTCAGGAAAGAGACAGGAGAATGAAAAAGAACAAGCAGTGTACAAATAATTGTGAACTAATTAAAAAAACTGTTTTAGTAAGCCAATTTTCTAAAAGCTATTCAATTCCGCTCCTATATATCCCTGACCTTTCCTAAAAGATATACAGCAGTGGAGAAGAAAAATATAATGGTAATTACAGTTCCTAAAAAACAATAGGTGATTAGGAAAAAATGATTCAAGATTTCTCAAAAGTTAATAACATCTATCTGAAAGAAATTCATTGCTTAACAATTATTGCATGTTCCAATGTTATGCAGATAAACACGAATTTGAGTCCAAACCTATATTGATAATAACAACGTAACTAACAAGATTATTAATTTTCTCAACTTTCTCCTTTTCTAAATTAATGTAGTTAAAAACAAAATCCAAAGCATTCAAAAAAAAAAAAAAAACAAAATCCAAAATGCCAAAACCTAGCGAAATTATACTCTACTAGTAATTAATTTCAAATGGCACGCATACATATCAGCCCAAATTGGAGTATATTCAACCCATATCATCAATATTCAATAACAGGATTATGGATTCCATTTCTACATAACAACAATAATAATAATGTGACATTCATGAGTAATATGCACACATTGATACATGTATATAAGATAGCTAGAGCATGCATAATCTAAAAATAAAAAATAAAAATAAATAAATAATTAGCATATGAACAATAAATGCAAGTTCGTTCTCATCTTGGCAAAAATGGTACTAATCTGCCACCATTTTTGTCTATAATTTCCTGTCTGAAAGTATTACTAAATTTGTGAAAAAATAAAATTACCTTTGAGAAGCAGAAGGAACGGTGCTCTTTCCCATGGCTCCTAAGCACAGCAAAAACAAACAAACAAACACGACCTTCTGCTGAAAAAATTAATTGTGTTTTTCAGGGTACATGATAGAAACAAAATTGAGGTTTGAAAATGAATGAGAGAGAAAGAGAGAGAGAAAGAGAGAGAGAGAGAAGAGAGGGAGAGCCCCAGAGGGGAAGTAGCGGTTGTCATGTCACTTACCTTCGTGCATGCACACATATGCCCAAGATTTTCTGGTATGATAATTCCACTATTGTCCAATCTTTTTCTCTTTTTGTTTTTTAAATACGTGTAAATTTTTTGTATATCTTTATTAATTTAACTAGTATTTTTTTTATGCGCGATAATCAAAAAAAAAATAGGTACCAAATATTAATACATTATATTAAAATTTTAAATTATTTAGATTTTAGATATTTAAATTATTCTAAATAATAATAATGTCAATCATTTTTATAAATTTGATATTTATATTTATGTAATAATTAACATATAACTCAAATATTTAATGTGTATATATTATTATTATTATTATTAATGAAGAAAATAAGAAAATATATGGTGGATGCATGTGCATGGTAACAATAGTGAAACTGATAACGGTAGTTATAACGGTAGGGGTATGTTTTTCCAAAATATTTTAATGTATAACATTTATAGTATAATGTAAATAAACTTAACGGAAAAAACGGACATAAATCAGGGGTATAACTTTCATTCACACTTATTATGTTTTTAGATTAGATATGTTTTTATTATGTTTTTAGATTAGATATGTTTTTAAAGTTAGTAACGTTTAGGATTTTACTACATCATAAAATTGTTAGTTTGAGAGTCATAATTAAATTAAAGTTGGGTAGCATTGCCTTTTTAATTAATACTCCGTATATACTTTCTGACTAAATTCACCACAATTATTATAACTATACATTAGTATGGAGCATAATATCCATCACATATATTTGGGGATAAGGTCGAATGAGAATATGTTTCTCTTGTAAAAAGTGACATTAATACAAAAATTGTCGTATATGTTGTAAAAAACATTTTGCGTCTGTTGTACAACAGACGCATATATTACAGACCCAGAT